TCAAATCAGCCACCATTTTTGACATACCCTCTTATAGGTGGGGCCCACAGGTTGACTATAACGGTTATAATTTTGATTAAAATCCCACAAAAATTGCTCCCAAACACGCTCTTAGAAAGACATAAAAGTACTTTTTTTGAAAGATAAGTAAGATTCAATTTTTTACGTAAAACATATGTTTTCGAACGAGAAATCCTAAAAGAATATAAATTTTTTTTAAAAAAGAATTTTTTAGTTTCTCTGTAGAGAAATTTCTGAAGAAAATAAGAATAATCTCATCTAACTCGACTCGACTCTCCAGATAAATGATAACCCATCTCGTTAGTTGCATATTCTTAGTGCAATTCATCCTCCCAACCATATTTGACAATTTGGGAGGCAATATTGTAGTTATTTGCATTCAATTTACACCAAAGTAATGTGTTGAAATACTTTGGTGAAATCTTCATAATGATCATTTAATTAATTTATCAAATCATTTTAATTGGGGTGCGTTTAGTTTAATTGGGTTGGTTAAAATTCAAGTAAATTTATTGAAATCTAAATCAAATCACTTTGAATCAGTTTGATTCGATTTAAAATCAAAAAGTTGCAGGATCCACGTGAAATTAAATCAGTTTGATTTCAGTTTACTTTTACAATTTGACTATTTCATTGTTCAATAGTAATTCAATATGTAACAGACAAACAAATACAAGAAAATTGAATAATACAGTTGATACAAATACAAATGGATTCCAAAAATTACTTAAAAAAAAAATTGGAGAGGAGCGGCATAGGAACACCAAAGCCAGTCTCATCAAGTTCTAGGTTGCCTCCCACGTTTATCCTGGCTACTGCAAAACCCAAAAACTAAAAAAAATAATAAATAAAAAGTTAAAAAATTATAAAGAAATGGTAAAAACTAAAAACATAGGAGTCAGCACAAATAACGGTCTCGAGCAATTAGGCGCTGGAAGCTCGTAATAATTTAGAGAACGTGTGATTAAAAACAAAAAAAAAATTTAAAATTTACACGTAATATTATTTTGTTGAAAATAAGAAGAGAAAAACATATTTTTTGAAAAATGGAGCCCAAATAGGAGCACTAATTATGAACAATGCATAATAAAGGGCATATTTAAATTTAGAGAATAATTTCTTTTATGCACTCTAACTATACTTTCTATTTTGATGCTTTATTTTATTTTTCAATGAACATTTATTAATTTCTTATATCTTTTATTTGAAATAATTTTTTATATATTAATGACTAATCAATTCAAATATAATTTGAATAATTTAAACGGCTATGTATTGAATTTTGTAATGCATTAAATGCAATCATTGTTAATTAAGAATAGAAAGTATGTTTATCTTCCCAAATTTATTTTTTATTTTAAAATGTTAAAATAGACTCTCTTGTGATTATGTTTAAGAATGACGATATCAGCACAAGGAGTGCTACATCACTAGTTTAAGTTGTCAAATTTGTAATGTTCAATTAAATGAATCATGTGACATTGTATTAAAGTAAATTTATTTTTCTGCATTTGTCACCTTTAATTGATCACACTTGTTAGATTTAATTAAATGAATCATGTGACATTGTTTTTAAGTAAATTTATCAATTAATATTATGCAATTATTATTTAAACTGGTGTTAGTACCAGTGGTGCTAAACATCATTGCTTTACTTTTAAGCATTGACTTTCTAAAATAAAGTGTACTATGTGTTTAAAGATTTTTTTGGAAATACTCTAAGGTTCTGTTTGATTGGCGGAATTTTTCAAGGAACTAGAAATTTTTTTTCCGTTTTTCATCTTTTGCGCTATTTGAGAGTCTAAATTTTTCATGGAAAATATTTTTCCATCCCACCCGCTACGTCAGCATTTTCCATGAAAATATTTTCCCACCTTGGCTGCTCAAAAAAATTTTTATTTTTATTTTTTATTTTTGTGCAATGGAAACAAATGCCATAACCAATTGTAAAAATTTTGTTCACTTTAATAGACAATTTTCATGTAAAATAAAGTCAAACAAATACTAAATTTTGATTAAAAAATGATTTTTTAGAGAACAATTTTTTTTTCCTTTTTTTTTTTTTAACTTTGTGGTAATGAAAATAAATTTTATAACCAATTGTGAAAAAAATCACTTTAATAGACAATTTCCATGTAAAACAAAGTCAAACGAATAGAAAATTTAAAAATTTTTCGGGTGGAAAATTATATCAATCAAACACACCTGAAATCATTTTCCCTGCAAATCATTTTCTAGGCAAATCTTTTCCCTGTAAAACATTTATTTCCACCCATTTTTCACCGTTGCAATCAAACGCACCCTAAAGGAAGTTAAAAATCTCGATAAGATAAGATATGACTAAAATATCCCTCTTTTATAAATTTTCAACAATGCTACATGTACATTCTCCTTTTTCACTTTCTTTACGCTCTTCTACATTGCAATATTTACACTCTTCATTTTCAACCCACCAATTATATCACTGCACAGATTTCCTCCACATAGGGAAAAATGTCATCTAAGATGTAAGTTAGTATGTACATCTAGCTTAATCCATAATTTTTTTTTTGAAGGTTTGCTTTTTCCTCGTTGATACAGTTCTTTGAGCAAAATTAATGGGTTAAAACTTAAAAAGTCGGACAATTTGTCTCCAAACATGGCCCTTTAAAGCCCTTGAGTCCTCAGTTTTTTTTTGTCCTTTAATTTTCATTTCTTCGAACTTTAAATTTATATGAGAGTTAATCTTAACTGAAGAGAAAGCAATCACGTACCTTACATGAGACCTATTCCTCTTAAGTCCATTTCTTATCACCATCCGCAGGTTCCCTATACCCTGCCATCAAGTCTTCACGTCAACCCTTCTTTCCTATGTTTAAAATAGATTTGACAAAAATTGAAAAAAAAGAGGTCATGTGCATTGCACGAGAGTGCTTAACAGAAAGAGTGATGGTCTACTTACTTCCATAAAAACTAACACACTTATATTGAAAGTTCAAGAATATGGCTATCTAATTGAAGCCCCATTTTCTGATGAAAATGCATTTTAGAATGTCATTTTGATGGAGAGTGTATTGTTAAAAATAAGAAAAAATTTTTGATTTACGCGTAATATTATTTTATTGAAAAAAAGTGTGATTGAAAACAAGAAAAATAAAAATGTATTTTTAAAATAATTGGATCAAACAAGCCTAAATGTTTAAATTGGGTATCAAAGTGCCCCCGATGCATAGTTCAGTGGTGCAAATGACATGAGAGAGGTAATCTCGGTTAAGCTGGCAGTCACAGTGTGAATGTTCGATTCTTACCTTTTACAAAGTTTGAAATTAGATTTTTTGTGGGCACCAGTATGACAACTATTGCACCCTGGCATGTTGATACACATTCCGCAATTTACCTCCTCCACGATACTTTATGGGCGGGACGGGACCCTTAAGGTTGGGGTTCAACCCTTTTTAAATTGGGTGTCAAGGTGCTCCGTTCAACATATGTGAAATTTCCTTAAAGTTTTCACTCATTTTGGCCGACTTGATTAAGGGAACCGTCTCCCTTACTACCACGTGACTTGAATCACGGACTCCAATAATGTAATCAATGCGGAAAAAAATGAACGATCGAAATTCCATTTACACCCTTGATCAATCCCATTAATTACCAATAATCTGTGGTCCCATTTTGAAACGTGTCATGTCCCCCCAAAATATGTGGCGGCTCGCTATAAAACATATTAGACTCCAAGGATGATTACTCTCTCTCTGAAGTCTTAATTAATTTTTTCATTTCTAAAATTAAATAAATAAAGTAATAATTTATTTGGTCATCGGATGCTATAAAACAGTAGATACATCACTCTTCTTCATCTTCTACAAGCTCATTTTCTTTCTCTACACACTACATATTTTCAAGTAAAATCTTGAGAAAGCAAAGTAGATATTTCATCCAGGGTTTTACTCAAAATACACCACGAAAACTCCCTGCGATTCTCTTCAACATATATTCCCCTTCCTTCCTTTTTTTCTTCAACTTTCCTTGATTTTTTTTCAACTTTATCTTTTTGGGCTTCTTTCTACACACACACACACACACTAACACTAACACTCGCTTATCCCTGCGTGTATGCTTGGGTAGTACTGTGCTGGTCTCTGCACTCTTTTTTTCCAGTCTTTTTACACTTCATAGAAAAAGCTTTTTCAAACTCTCCCTCTTTGATAGTAAAACATAATCACTTATTTTTAAGTATTTTTCTCTCTCAGGACTTCACTTTAACGTAGCCACTATTTTCTATTTATTTCACAGAACCAATCTCTCAATCCCTTCACTGACTCTCGCTTTCAATGCGAATATGAAAATTCCAAGAAAATCTCTCAACTCTTCCATGGAACTACAACAAAAAGATGAAATCATGTTGTCTAGTAGAAGACTCAAGTTCACTGAACACTTAAATCAAACCACTGTCATCAGCAGAACAGAGAAATCAAACCAGTCCAGCCCAAGAACCCTACGGATTACCTTCACCGACGATCAAGCTACCGACTCATCCAGTGATGAAGAAGAGGGATTCCTTATCAAACGCCAGAGAGTCAAGAAATTCATCAATGAAATCAAAGTTCAACCCTACGGCAGTGAGAGTATTACCGTAAATTCCAGCGTTAATGGAATTGCTGATGGTTTGAGGTGTACCCGGACGCCCGTAACGGTGGCTAAACGGAAACAGTGCAGCAGAAGAACGGCATCCACCACCAGTAAAAAGACCAGTAACGTTAGAAAGTTTCGTGGAGTCAGACAAAGGCCGTGGGGCAAATGGGCGGCGGAGATTCGAGATCCCCTGCGACGTGTGAGGCTCTGGTTAGGCACCTACGACACTGCCGAGGAGGCAGCCATGGTGTATGACCACGCGGCCATCAAACTGCGTGGACCGGACGCGCCCACAAATTTCTCCACCACCATCCTACCACCGCCTGAAACGGACAACAAAACAAGCTCAGGTTACAACTCCGGTGAGACCTCTTCACCAGCTGAAACGTACAATAAAACGAGCTCAGGGTTCAACTCCTGTGATGATTTTAACAATGACGTTAAATCACCCAAATCTGTCCTGCTTTTCAACTCAGTTTCTGAATGCCAAGCCGACGCCGAGCCGTCGTCGTCCTTTATCCTGTCAAGCGATGCCGTTTTGAAGGAGAATGACACTTTCTCGGACTTCTCGATGTTTTCTGTTGATGAAGACTTGTTTTCCCAGCTCGAAAACCGGGTCGTACCTGATTTATTTGACCAAACGGGTTTTCCGGAAAATGTTTTCGGGCTCGGGGATTTCAAATGTTGCAGTGATTTGCTTTTCGGGTCAAGTAATGATTGTCGGCCCGGGTCGCCAGCACTGCAAACGGATGATTACTTTCAAGATTTTGGAGATATATTCGGGTCGGATCCTCTAGTGGTTCTTTGAGCCCTGAAGAGGCTGAAAACGACTTTTCGGCATTTTTGAATAGCGGGAAGTGTGCAATGTCAATCCTATCCTACGAGGATTTTTTGTTTTATTTTTTCTCAGAAATTTCAGTTTTGTTTTGGACCTTTGGTATCAATGGAAATTTATTAATTTATTAGTGGATGATAGTTTCATTATACACGTACTGAATGTTATGTCTGATGAAAGTCACGTGATTTGGGAAGTCATGAGTTAGGTAAAGAATGAAATGGGATGATTCATCCAACACACATTGCCACCCTCGTTTTGTCACATTACTTAAATACATATACATACACGATACACACACATATATATATATACATATGACACAAATTTTATTTAAGTAACACAAATTTTAAGATTAATTTGCCCAACGAGTCATCATCTAACAAAGATATGTTCGAAATATAGAAATGTGCAGAAGGATTTATGATACTCTTGTTAATAATATTGACATTTTAAATGGAACTTCATGTCTTAGCACAAAAATAATTTTTTTAAGATTCTATTCATAGTAAATTAAGTGTTTTAGTATGCTACACGCTCGATACTTCAAATTGAACAAGATAATTGATGAATATATGCAATATTGTCAATTATTAATAAACCACGCCTTAAACAGTACGTAACAAGCAACAAATCATAGTCTTTTAAAAGCTGCAATGACATTATTCATAGACAATCAAAATTGTTAGCATTTTGAGTGGTAAATAGCTGCAGTGAACCCGAAATTGGTAACATCTTATATTGTAAGATAGTCGCATGTCACGTCTCTGTTTCTCACATGTACCAAATAATTCTAATTGACATTTTTTTCTCTTTTAACATCTTAGTTTGATTCAATTCAGTTTAATATATATTTTAAAAGAAATTATAGAATGTACTTTGGATTCTAGCTGTGTGTGAGAATATAAGGAAGAACAAACTATAAACAATTAATGCACGACAAAATGAAATTAAATTGCTCTAATTATGATGCCTCTAACGACATTTTCCTTTGGTACAAACAAAATCACGAATCATCCATATGGATCACTTTACTTTTTACCTTTACTTTTTTATGTTTTCTAAGGCCATGTTCTTTGGGACCCCTTGTCTTCTAGTGGGTTCATTTGTTGCCCAATCAAAGTGCAATTGTGACAAAACCAACCCCACCCAAAAAAACATTTTGTGCCAACATGTAACCTACTTAGAGATTGCAATGTAACTTTTTTGAACCTTGAAATTTTATTTTTGAATAAAAAAAATTCAAGGTTTACTTTTTTTTTTACTTAAAAATAAGAAAGAAATCTAAACACATTGAAAATAAAAAAGTTGTTTACAAGTAATTTTATAACTAATTTGAAAGGGATTAAAATTAGTTTTTTAGTAGATTTTGATAAAGTTAATGAAATGTGTGATTCAAAAGTTACGAGCCTAATGAAATGTGTTTTGAAAATTAATTATTGACTTTGATTTAAATTAAAATCTTGAAGGACATAGTTTACAGCTTAGTAAAACGTGTTGATCGATCCTAATTTTTCTTTGCTCTTGAGAAAGAAGATATAAGAGTGATATATTTATTTTGTAGAAAATTTATTGTTTTGGGTGATACAGAGTCCATAGAGGTGACGTCAAAGTTTACTGAAGTAGAATAACGAAAAACATGAACTAAGACTACTCAATGGATCATCGTTGAAAATTTAAGGTAAAAATAATACTTAATTTTAATGATCGAGGACTAACTTATTATTAAGATCATAGTTGAAGGACCACCACTTCAATTTTCCCATATTTCTCTGCAAGGTTGTGCCACTTGGACTGTAACAATTCACTCCAAAACACATACTTTTTATAGAGATTTTGTGTGAAGGTCCAAATTGCAAAAAACAATTTATGACAATTACCTGCTGTTTGATCAAAAATCATTCTAGTGGTCCATTGATGAGCTGGTGATTAATCCATGACAACCTATTTGGACAAAAAACTGGGCTTTTTGTACTGATGCACCATCACTCACTCACTCAGTCTTGCTTCAATCTGTTTTGACACAGTTCGTAAGAGTCGGTAAAAAAAATATTCGATAGTATTATAAACATTATAGAATTGATCTCCTTCCTTCGGTATACATTTTTTTCTCTATTGATATGACAAAAAAAATCATAAGTATGATTTTCTGAAAGTATAATTGTTACAGAAATTCAGAGAATTGTAAGTATGATTCTCTTGCCAAGTCAGTAGTAAGAAATTTTTATTCTTCTCACATGATAAATTGAATAGTATTGACTTGTAATGACCAGTTTTTATCTCACATTGACCATAACAAGCTTACCTTGTGATATAATGATCTAATGAGCACCGGT